ATCCACTGGAAAATCGTCCAAGTTCCTGCATTTAAGCAACATTCCATTTAAACTGTTCTAAGTTACTGTTCAGGAGGACGCAAACGCTGGCAAGACTTTGGAGTTTATGTTATTGTCTTTGCAAACAACGGAGGGCGTCGGTGCGGCAACGACCCCTTTACCTAGGATTTCGCGGCACGAAACCTACGAATTCCCGTGGAAGATCCAAAGAACACGCGTGTAATATGAATTCGTAACGGCGCAGCGCACCGATTTCCAATATCACTGTCGACGAAACGGGACGTGTTTGCCGCACCAATGACGGCTTAGAGGAACAGGAGTAACGATACAAATCTATTTGCCATTCTTCGTCTAAACGTACAATAATATTCAGTTCAACAATATTAAATTGTTTATAAAATTTTATCTTCGGTTTTTTTTTCATCGTCGTACCTATTTTCAGTTACAGTTCATCTATGAATAATTTGTTTGGCGAATAGACACACGAGATAAAAAAGAATAGAGAAAAAAAATGGATATATCGATCGTTGCATTTAGAAGATCGCGCGTCCGCGAAGCGAAACAGCTTTTTCGACGCTAAAATTTTTAATCGCGAAGCTGTGTGACGTTGATGAGCCACCGGGATGACGAATATTTTCAGCGTGGCTTCCATGAAACCCCTATTCGTGTTTTTCATTTCTGTATTCCTTTATGGTCTCTATTTGTATATTTGAAAATTACTGGAACTTTTAGTCACTACACAATTTTACTTGGTATATTAGCATTGATTAATTTCACGTTTAACATGTGGAAATGTGTAGGCTTGGATTCTGAGTCAGCAAATCTATCGATTTATTACACTGTGTCAGTAGAAAATTTTATGAAGTCGGTAGATTAGAGAATACGAAAGACCAGAGGAGAGGCATTTCATTCTTCAAAGATTCATTAAGTGGCTGGCACAGATTTGAACGGAGGAATCAGCAGATACTGAGCCATTAAAATTACGATCATACAATAGAAGTATGAACCTCGAAAGCTGTTCTACTTCCGATTGAATAGCGGAAATAGGAAGACATAAAAAGGGGATGAAATGTTGAACTTCGAAGTATCACGTCTCTAATAATATTTTTAGTAACTCCTTGATTTGCATTTCTGACATCCGAGTCTTTTCCAAATGATCGTTTTAAGCAGTACATATGAGTAATCAATAACTAAATGTCAGCTGAAATTTCATAGATTCAATAATGAATTATCAATCCACATGCATATAATACAATATGCGAATAATTTCATTCTTGGCGCAAATAGTGTCTTGAAATTAATAGAATGCACCCGTCCACTTATCATATGAATAGTAAAAACACAATTCAATACAACAAGTTAGTAAAGTAACAATTTCATAATTCAATTAACTCTAACAACTTCACTCAACAGCTGATCGAAAATTAAGAACGCAATATAATGTACTGAAACAAGCTTCGATTCATGTAATACTTGTGCGATTGACAAAGAATGTGTTGACTTATCTGGTATTTTGATAGTTAATAAAAGACATTGTATCTGACAATAAACCCGGTTAACACGAATTCCGCGACGTCTCGATCGCGGTGAAAGAACAGAGATCAAAAGGAAGTATAACACCGGGTCGGGGCGTGGTGCGACGGCGGTGTGTACACGTCGGCCGATAAATAAAATACTCATAACAATTTATCGTCGGGCGCGATGCACGCCGTTTTATCGACGCTCGTGTTCACTGCTGCCTGAAGATCTTCTCGCGCACGGTTATAGGCGTTCGCAGGTGGCAGAATATATGATACTAATAAAAATAATGGCGAATGATATCAAGGCGGGGAGACACGGGGGAAGGGGAATGAACGCTCTCGTCGACTCGATGTTCTGCTTGCAGAATTCCGTTTGGATAATGCCGTCGTGATATACACGAAAAGAATATCTGGGTTGAAACGGAACACGGGGGAAATAACTTCCGATCGTTATTATTAACGATATAGCAAATCAATACATATAGTGAGTAAGGAGAGTTATAATATTTCATCACAATTGTCGAGCATAGAAAAACATAAAATATGAGCGAGATCGGAATCGACAATTTCCTTGATAAATTGACAATACAGAATGGCCAGTTATGAGAAAATAAGTCGAAAATCTAGAATAAAACATTTGGATATATTTTTGAAAATTGTGTTAAGTACACGTGTTATTAACCATCGTGCACTGTACGAGTCAATTTGGACCTGAACATAAACTTTAACTTACAATTATATTCTTTATCAAAGACACTTGTAAATGAATTTGACACCAGTAGTTTACATAATAACGATGAAGCAACATGTGACTACATTTTCGAAATTTGAGTTTACCGTGTACAAGGGTTACATAGGATTTGATTAAAGTATCCTATCATTATTGACTATTTCCGCTTACGGGAAGCACAAACGCATACATATCGAACAAAACTTCTAGACTTATTTTTTCACAAAAAGACAGACTTTTAAAGTCCCATATATTTCCCTGCTATTAGTGTACGGCTTTGGGGGATAATAACAGTTATTACGAAAGAACCAAATGTTTCTGCTTCTTTCCCTTCAATCAGTATATGCATGTCAGCCGACGTATACATTTTTTAATAAGCAACGTGCACTGCATTATTTCGATAAAATATTCTGTAGAATTATTTAATGTATAGAAAAAAATTGAGAGTATATGGTCACAGAATTAACAAATTATTTTCGTCGCGGATGATGGCACACCCGATTTAAAATTCACCGGCTTCCGGGCTTCGATTAGATGAAAGCTGCAGAGGAATCGAATAAATGATTCGTGCAGCAGAAATGATGAACGCGTCATTTTAAAATCGCGAGCAAAGAGGAACTTGCCGGTGTGCTCATGAAAAATTAAATTAACGCCCGTGTTTGTCTGAGTTTCGCGAAATCGCTTCATTCGACGTCCGGGTAAAAACTCGATGCATCCGGCCCCCGTGAATACGTTAATCACGATCATACGCAAATCAGATTGATTCAGAGCTTTTCCCGTGCATTTCACACGGACATCCCCGTGACTTCGATAATTACTTGAATCATTTCGAATTCAACGTGTGACGTCGCGTTAATGAGGTTAAATACTTCGAAAACATTGATATTCAACGCCCCCCCCTCCCCCGCTCTCCAGCTCGTATTTTAAACGCCATTCACGGAAGAAAATTATGCTGTTTTAATAAGCGAACAAACTGGAACAAATTAAGCAACTCAAATGCGCAGAAATTGTATAACATATTGATTACTTGTAAAATATATTTCTAAGATGACTGGTTTTTCTTATACGGTTAATAATTCATTGTACTTCCCTAAATTGAAAGTACTGTGTTCTTCATTTTTAATTGAATAATAGAGAAACTTCTGGTTCTTCATTTTTTCAATATTTGATATACCATGCTTTTTTCATTGATAGTCGTGACTGTTCTTGTTTACTATTTACATGGTGAATGAAAGGGTGCATCCTATGACATTCTCATCAATCACAGGAGAAAGGAAGACATATTGAATATAAATTATATTTTCATTTTACACGTCTTTCTCGGTGAACAAGTTGGTGACCTGTTCAAGTGAAATATATTTTAATTTATAGTAAAACATGATTGTTTCATCTAGGAGTCTCCTGTCAGTATAAGTTGAATCTGACTTTGCTACTCGAATTCCACAATGTTGTATATTTATGAAAATCTCTTTAATAAACGTCTGAAGTGAAATAGGCACGGTAATACCTATTAGGTAGTTTCAGAACTGTCGTAAGTGCTTACACACTTGCGAAGCCAGAGTAGGTTAACGTGCAAAATTCTACACGTAATGGGAAGTGGGTGTAAACTAGTTTCTACGGGAAATTGCCACAACAAAATAGTTTCGTACACGCCGTTGCCAGTGGACGTCTTGATGTATTACAGTGGCTCAATATACTATATCGAAATTTTTAATCCGCCAAGACACGTACGGTGTAGACTGATTCAAATAAAAGTGCACACATTCAACATTTTTATTCTCAATTTTAGTATTTCATATAAATTGTAGACTAAACTAAATTATCTACTAGACTAAATTGTATGTCATATGTAGGTATGGTTATCTTACGTATTGTTCACAGAACATTTTCTTTTACAATATACGTATAAAAATGTTTCCCCGTCTATTTTACAGTTAATTCATTTCAAGGTTCATCTGTATTGACATTTTATTCAGAAAAGAGTTCGAGATTGTGCTCCGTTAGTAACTTGAAAACATTTTCAGCACGAAACTGGCAAAAGGGGAAGAAACAAAGGTTTAACCACCTTTTACTTCTATCTAAATTGAACCCTGGATTTTAGAACACAAAAGTGACTCCAATAGCTCCATTCCCTACCCAATTATTGCCAGAAATCTAATCAATAATATTACATCCTCAGAATAAGAGATAAATTTGAATCTGAGAAATATATCTGTAGCAACAGCCTAAAAACTATCCTAGATTCTACTTAAACTGATTAAATACTTTCTATAATTGTGATGAACAGTATATTCCGTTAGAAGTGAACTATTTCTAATAATTGTATAGAAACAGCGTCTAAGTTTCACAAAAAATAAGCATTTTACTTTCAATTCGGTAGCTTTTGGAACAAATTGGGTAAAGTGCTATTACAGTAGAACGCTGATTATTATCCGAACTAATAGAACGACAAGTCCGTTCAGATAATCAGTTTTCGGCATAATCTTTCTAGGAGAATCAAAGTTTAGTATATATCATAAAAAAAATCAATATTGAAAGATGGATGTTTATTGCACGGAAGATCTCATGACAACACAAATAAATATTACAACAGCACCTAACGATCATTTCAGCAGCTTTGTCATTCTCCTCTTCAACAACAACGGATAAAACAATATTACCCTAGCCTACAATTTTATATTCTCTATTTTACACGTTCCAAACTCAGTGAATTCTATCGCCAATTAAAGCGGTGCATAATATGCCCTAACCTCCTTTAAGAGTAATGTACGGCATGTTTTCCCATGCGTCTTCTAAACTAATTCTCTCAAAAAACCCATTCGTGACTGCTTCTCTATTCCAATAATCGGTCTCTGCGATGATGAACATTTCCGATAAACGACATTCGGATAATCTGTGTTCTACTGTATTATCTTTGCCGCGATAAAATGCCAAACACCCCCGCGTTCTCTCCCTTGTCCACCCTAAATTGCCCACTTGACCGGCTCTCTCGTTAGGATGCACAATCAAATCCTGGATTCGCGGGCGGGGAACAATAGAGGGGAAGGGGGAGGGGGCACACGCGTGCATGTGACGTCTCGTGAAAAATTGCAACGCGGCGAATCCCGATTTACCGGGCGCCCCATTATTCACGGGATCGACATCAAAGGGAAATCCGCGGGGAAGCGCGGTAGGGCGAAAGGGGTGTCGGGGCCAAGATTTCTGCGGATAGCCGCGCGCGCGATACGATTACGCAATGCTACCGCCGGCCGGTTCTGCGGATCCATCGGCGCATATATCAGCCATTGTGCATAGCTGCCCTCACCTCAGTTATCTTAATTACATCTGTAATGCGCGCCGCCGCAAGGTCCCTCCCCTTCGCCCGCCGACACGGCAGCTAACCGGCTACTCGCGTGTCCGTATGCTTATTTACCAAGAAATAACTTTTAAAAACACTTTTATGTTACTGGTTCCATATAAATATATAGTAAAAGATATAAAGTCCATATTTGTTACGCAACACGAGCGCCACCATTCCCGCGGTGACAGTTGTCTCTGCCAATATAGAAGGTGAACACAAATCCAAATTAAGTGAATAGAAATTAAATATATAAAAAATATTCATGAGGTTCGTGACACCTTATCTTCCTATTTAAGAATGAAAATGGCAAATCAACACAGAAATAAAGATTCTTAAGGGTCAACCGTGAAATTAGAACGAAATTTCTCTCCACGGCCGTTCATGTTTCACTTAATAAACCGCATTTATCCCGTGGCTGTCTGCGAACAAAATGAAGGGAAGAAACGGCCACGAATAACGTGGCGCGATATTTCGGCCGCGAAACGTAACCAGGTTCCAAGAGCGTGGTTCTGTTTCACGTGTTCGCGCGAGAAAGGGCGGAGAAGAGAAAGAGAGTCAGGAAACCAATTCAACTATGGCATCGACTTGTTTTGGTCATCGAAATCCCTTTTTTTTTTTATGTATTTCCCACCCTCTCTCCGGCGTGTCGGTGGCTACGACCGAACAAAAACGAACAAGTGTAGCGTGTAACGAGCGAGTCGCAAGCTCCAGCGAGTGATTTTTTTTTCTATCCCGCGTTAGGTTACGGTTACACTGGACGCGTATTCGGACGACTAGTCCGTCATCCGTACACAGCTAGTGATGGGTTAGGTAAACCGAGTAGCTCCGGTAAACCAGAACCAACGGAGGTCGTAATTCTCCGACAAGAATTTGTTGAACAGCGTAAACTCCACGTGTCCCTACTATTACATTAGCTATAAAAACCACTGCTAATACTAAATTAATAGAAAAAGAACAAATACTCCTCTTTTGCAACAAAAAATTAACTACATACAGAATACCAAGTTGAATAGCAAAAACGGCTGTGTACATCAATATGATAAATAACTATATTAATATAACCATCAATGTAAGGAATAATGTTAAGTAAATAATGAAATGGTTAATAAGGTAAATTAATTAGTATATTAATGAGTAATATTAATGATTTGTGTACAGTACAGTTCGCATGGATAAAAAAGTGATCGCATTCTCTATGCCTGAGGGGTAAATTTTAGTTACATTTACAAGGTTTCCAATATTTATTGTATCGCCGCATCACGTCGGACGAAAAATCAAACTCGCTTGATCGACGGATGCGTATACGGACGAACTGGTCGTATTCGAGCAATTTCAATTCAAGCAATCACGTCAACCGTTATATTTTGGTTATTTTTCAACATGGGGCTCTGATTTAACGCTCATTATAAAGCTGAAGGAATGTTGTTTTCAAGTATATGCACAAAATTTGGGTTATTAGTAATAAATATAGTTATAATTAATGTTCAATATTGAAATGTCGATTTGACACTGTTCTCACATATGGATCAACTTGGAAAACATACTACTGGATTCCTTGAATCCTCAACTTTAAAATACACTTTCCAAAAAGATGGAGCGTTTTCGGGACAATTAAAAAAAAAATAAAGTTTACCATGATGTATGTCGAACAGTTGAGACGCAGTGCGTGGCCGAACATCAAACAACTTTGTTTTTTTTTATATTTTCCCAAAAACGCTCCATCTTTTTGAAAAGTGTATTTTAAAGTTGAGAATTCAAGGAATCCAGTAGTATTTTTCCAAATTGATCCATATGTGAAAACAGTGTCAAATCGGCATTTCAATATTTAACATTAATTATAACTATATTTATTACCAAGAACCAAAATTTTGTGCATATACTTGAAAACAACATTCCTTCAGCTTTAGAATGAGCGTTAAATCAGAGCCCTATGTTGAAAAATAACAAAAATATAACGGTTGAAGTGATGTCGTGTCGGCCATTTCCCGTGCGTTTTGACGCTCGTATGCGACGAACGCGAGCAATATAACTGCTCCCATTAATTTGGAGGCGTTTGATTCGGTCGTCCGCATCGATATACCTAACCGAGACCCATCACTAGCTGTACACGAACCACGAATACGCGTCCAGTGTAACCGTAGCCTTACACGAGACGCGCTGTCATCCGCGGCGCGTTTTTTTCGAGCGGCGCGGCGAGAAAAAAGGATGAGTCGGTGGGAAAAAAACGTGGCCGCGCGCGATCGGCACGCGTCCCACCGTGAAATCGTTTGTTAACTTTTCTTGGTGGCCCTCCCCAATCGATCGGGGGATCGACGTTTCTCGAAACCGGACTGGAAGCTTGTCGACGGTGCCCCCCGTTGTTTATGGGGCCGTGGTTGCGCGCGGAAAGACAACAAACATGTTTGGATGAACTACATTTACAGGTGAACCTGCTCTCAGTGAATGTCGACGAGTGTGTGGTCATATCGATTAGCGAGTTAGTTTTTCAACCGAAAGTGCGAGAATCTGTTTCAATTCCGAAATACGATACCTGGGCAGGCTGACTGCAAAAACTGGGTGAGTATGCAGGTGTTTTATAGGAAAAATAGAGGTATTGATAGAGTGATATCTGTTGTTTTTCTTGGAGAGAATTTACACACTCTTTATTTGTGAATCGACTCTTTCTATTGCGTGGATGTGTGAGAGTATGTTAAGGGATATTTCATATTTTTATCAGAGTACAGTATTAACTACAGAAAATCGGGTTAGGGAAATATCTTGTAGAGAGGTTAACACGAATCTTGAGTTACTTTCATTGGGTGACGATTCAATTCTGTTTTAGATTATTTACTGTTGACAAGTGCCATAAGATGGTAGAGATAGCAATATGACGATAAGAGAGACGATAATGCTGGGTCTTATGGAAAAAGTACTGTATAATCTGATATACTGTACAATAATGTATAATCTGCTGTAACTTTCATAAAAAATACACTACATCATATGTATGAATCTATAAATTACCTTATGCAGTGTGTTCAGATACTAGTGATAAAGTGAAAATCAAGAATGACGAAATTATGTCAAGGGTTTCGTTTTCAAGTTATTAACAGTTAACTATTTGAGCTAGAAACGCCTGAAACCAGGCAACCTGCGCATAAACGGTAAACATAGGGTACGATAGTACACTGACGCCACGTAACAAAATTCACCTCTACCTTGTCACCGAAAAAGTGATGCACAAGAGAAACCACAGTATACACACATATATTGTAGAATAAATACTAACTTAAATTAAACTTAAACTCAGTATAAGGAATTAATTAAATTAATGTTAGAAACAAATTTGAGAGATTAAAGTTTCTGACCCCAGTAACCGAATATTTTGTACATTTCTATACATTTTGGATAGTTGTATACCTTACTAAAAAATCAACGTAGTTGTTGTAATAATATAAAATTTAAGTTCTGTAATGTTTCTAATAATTCGGTCATTGTTATTCTTCAATTTTCTTTACCCCTCGCGTTTAACTCGCATAATGGGAATAAGACTATACTCCAGTTCTGTTTCTCCGAACTCTGCTGCTTCATCAATAACGTTTTAGTTCTTCCAAGAATCTTGAAATAGTTTCAAATGACCGTCTTTAGTCTGACATTATGCACTTACGTGCAGAGAGGGGGGAATGACATTTGACAGGTCATAGCAAAGGGTAATATATCGTACTGATACTTACGACCATCACAACAGTTATGGTATAGAGGTGACTGTGTTATACATATAACTATCTATTCAACGGAATTTCATTAAAATTAATGATCTCAAAATCACTCATAGTCTGACAGAACTTTCACGTTCAATGTTTACTGCAATATTAAACGAGTATATAACTATCTTTTAAACATGCAATCCATTTCCATTTATTAAAAATTACTACGGTCCATAAAATTAATTCAAATGATTTTCGTTCAGTTTCATGTAGCATAGTAAAAATTTCGAAATTTGTTGATGCCACGATCAAAACGGGATCTCCCGGTATGTTTGACTTTGATGGTACACGCGAAGCAGGTCACTGTCCATTATTATTTCCCTCTCGTTATACGAGGATAGCCGAGAGGGCTCGATTATACATATGATATCGATATAATTTCTTGCAATATCAGTCGACACAATTTTGGGAACAGGGGTGCATTGCGTTTGCTTTCGTGAATATACGAAATGCACCGCTTAGTAATGAATACCTAGAGGCTACCTGCTACTACGGTGGCCATTGTTTCCAAAACACAGCAGTGTGGCATTATAATTGAGAATCCGTGAAACCGCTGCGGGAAACGGTTCCAAAGACTCGTTAAACGAAACTAGTATGAAGGTTCATCTTTAGACGTCGAACGCAGCGTGAATTAAACGAAGATGGAGCTCCGTTTACTTTATGAATAATTTTACTCCCGAATAAACGACATATAAACTATTACGTTTTCGATTGAAAAACGAAGCATTGTCACATATCACATTGTGAATAGCATAAAAATTGGAAAATACTTTTTTTTAATTTTAAGATAGAAATTACAAAATTGTTAACAATTAGCTGCATTACGTCTGCAGTGAAGTTAAAAATAAAATTGCCAGCAGATTAAACTCCTGACAATCCAGTTTCACCAATTATTGTACAAACATTTCGATAGTCAATTCTGTATAGAGAAAATCGTATATTTTACCTAAATTAATTGACGTTCTATAGTTCCAGTAATAGTTTCAATTATCCGTTTTTAATATCTCTATCGTATAACTGCATATTTTCCATGAATATTTTTCGTAGTAACTCGCAATCAATTTTTGTAGGTTCTTAAATTTTCTATGATATAAAATTTATTATTGCTCTCATCAAGGTCATTTCACAATTCAGTATATAAGAACGTAATACGATTATCTGTGGCTGTGGACAGTTTAACGAAAAAAGAAATTACTCAT